AAAACTATATATGACAGTAAAATATAATTATTTAATTAGTTCTTACGTACAAGCGTATATTTCTTCATCAGGCTAATTACTGAAGCGTACAATCGACACTAACACAGAGTTTATAGCGCTTCTTACTTAATTAAGCCATCAATTTTCACACCCTTCTTAAAATTCTATTGATCTTAAGTGCAGAAATTTATAATATAATTAATGTATTGAATAAAACAATCTAATAAAACAGATTTTTTGGATAATAATTTAAAAAAAAAAAACTCACGTTTGCACGTCCAGAAACACGCACTGGCAGAACGAAAGTAAGTTTTTTTTTTGGAACTAAAATTAACTACGATTATGTAACTAATATGAAACTACAAACAAGAGGAAGAGGAAGTAATTTATTAACGTCTAAAAAATCGTCTAGAGTTTTTAAATTCCATTTACTTGTATCCTTTCAATTTTTTTTTCTCCTTTAGATTACTCCAGAAAAGTAGGTCATACCATTCAAACAAGTGTTAAGTTATCGAAATTTTGATGTCAAATCTCACACCCCTTCCCTTCTACACCCGCTAAAATGTATTTTTAGATAGTTTTTTAGATAAATTTTTATATAATTTACCATTAAAATATTGTTAAACATAATTACTTGCTACTATCTTTCAACAGATCTCAGCATCCGTCTGCAGTTCTTAAAATAGAAGAGTAATGATCAAGAGTTTTGTAATTATTTTGAGNTATTTTTTTTATAGAGAATTTAAATTTATATAACTTTATACATAATTTCTTTTCCCGTTTGTTGATAACGTTCTACTATACGAAACTACGGCTTAAAAGTAATAAAATTAATTGAAATTTTGATACTTTCCTGTCCCAAGGTCTTAGATTTATAATCTAAGACCTTGTTCCTGTCCGGCATTTTGTTTCTACGTGGAGGGCGCCATTTTTGAAAATCATTAAGAACGACAACAGCGACGTCTCGAATTTATAATTTTTTTTTTTTTAATGCCAAATAATTTAAATATGTGCATTTTAAAAAATTTATTCTGTTGTTACTTATACAATTTAGAGTCAATAACTAAAAATATTATTTGATCTCTTAGAGAGTTGTTTTATTGAATATTATAGTGTTTCTTCTGTTGTAATGTCCATACCAATTAGAACTAAGGCCGGTTCTGTTTGGATCAACGAACACGAATGACTTTACTATGGTCTCTAGAGGTAGAGATCCAAATCGATTGTGGAGTCCGCACACGAAACTCATCTTTTTACTTCAATCATGACCAAAAACAGAAGGCTTTTCAGATAAATTCTATTAAAAATGCTTTCAAAATGGTCGTTTTTTTTTTAAAAGTGACAGTATAGTATCTTATTGTGTTGAATCAACAATTTAATGCTGTATTGTATTCGTCAAAAACACCATTAGTACATTACTGTGTTAACACAGTAAAGTACTAACGGTGTTGTCGATGTTGATGAAGTTAGTAGTTACCGAGCTGCGTTAACAACACAAACAGTACATTACTGTGTTGCATCAACCATACCAACAAAACAATCTTGTGTAGTATCAACAATATAAGTAGTACAATACAATACTATTTTAGAAGAAATAAAACGATAATTAAGATAAGTTTAATTTATACAAGAAAATGATTTTATAACTGCTTTTGTCTGTCCATCACACTGTATATTTTAAGACAAACAAAAATTTTACTTTGAGGATATTGTAAAATCTACAGTAACATATACTATATTGGACTGTAAACGAAATATACAAGTACTATGCAGTTAATATTCATTACAGTATTATTACAATATATTTAGAATACACAATACAGTAAAAATTGTATACTGTATACAGTACACAGTATGGTATACAATATACTTTTAAATCCATAATTTTAATATTATATACAATACAAACAGTACTAATGTAAATAATACTGTACATTAGTACTGTACACTAAGCAATTTTGAGAAGAAAATAAATATACTACATAAACTATAACTGATTACTATCAGTCTGTCAGTCACGCTGTATATTATATAAAAAAATACTATTCACATTCAATATAGATAATACTTCGAGTGTACAACGTGAGAGACAGACAAATGCAGGAAAATATTAATTAAATACTTAATTAAAACCAATTCCGCACAGTTTCCTGCAGCTTATTAACAAAATTAAACATATAAAAATCCATTTCAATTAACAGAAATCTCTAAAAAAAATCACTTCAATTTTAACTATTTTTTAAAAAAGATTTTAGTGTATATATATAAAGAAAATATACACGTGTTTAGTTAGAAAGATGCCAAAAATCCGCACCTATAACTAGAATATTAAAGAAAATGAAGCGAGACTAAATATAATTTTTGGCACAGATTGTGATTTTTTGGATATTCAACAGGAAAGTGTTATCTAATACCAAAAAACACACACCGAAAGTAACGATATTACATGCATCAACAGTAACACGAGAACGTAATGATACTCGTTGTTTGTAAGTACAGACGAAAGTTGTGTATTACAAAAAAAAAAAAAAAAATCGCCTACGAGTGCAATCATCTGAAACCATTTCGCCACTTCAATAATTGAATTATTGTATTGAGGAGCGATTAAGGATGTTAAATTAAAATTCTAAACATATTTCAATTGAAAAAAATTCATTAAATCTTTCCAAAAAATTTACAAATGCCAAAAAATTTGAGATTTTTCTGAATGTATGGATACAGAAAAAAAAACCCAAATTATGTTTGTGTTTGGAGGCGCGATTTTGTTCACTTATTTTAAAGCTTAATAATTCCAATGCTTTTTGTTGAAAATTTCTGAAATTTTGCAGGGAGGTTTGTGTATTAGGGGGTTTGATGCTATTAAATTTTGGTGGTTAAAGGTCGAGGGGGTGGGGAGATAAAGGGGTCAGGGTCGTGTGTCATATCTCCAGTAGGGTCGGACTTAATGACGATTAAAGCTTTTTGTTGACACTTTTTGCTGGATTTTTAGATTGAAAAACAGTAAATATTCTAAATATCATTTATCTAAAATAAATTACAGTACTTTTTCTTTAAAAAAATCTTGAAAAAAACTCGATTTTCTTAGTTTATGCTGCTTAAGATTGGTGGGTTCTTTAACAAAGAAAGTCTTTCATTCAAGAGTGATTAACGCCTTCGAATTATAATATTAAACACATTTAAAGTAAAAGGTTAATTAAATATTCAAAAAAGCTATAAATTTTCTAAGAAAACACATATTAAAGTCGAAGACTAGCAATGAATATACATTAGTTCTTGAGCATGTTGACAGCAAATGAATAACTTTTCTATTAAAAAAATCAATTCGCGTGATACATAAAGTGTTCATGTGAACTTTAATAAATAATTTTACATAGTGTATATCTACATTAAAGGACTTTTTAAGATAATCTTCAAAAACATTTGATATTCTTACAGTTACGTGGAATTAAGTTAGTTTATACTTCGATAAAGCATAGTTAAATCATGGGTTTTCCGGGTGGTTCCTTGTGCTTGCTGCTCTAAAAGTCACGTGATATCTTAAAATAAAGTGTCTCGAGTAATTCTGTACACATTTATGTACAAATTATGTAAATAAAGTTATAAAATAATGCCAGAGAAATGCTGTGATATGTGATAACTTCAAGGTTTTAGTTTCTTAATTTATGACACCATTTCGAAGGACATAAACCTCAATTTTATGGAAAGTAAAACTATATATGACAGTAAAATATAATTATTTAATTAGTTCTTACGTACAAGCGTATATTTCTTCATCAGGCTAATTACTGAAGCGTACAATCGACACTAACACAGAGTTTATAGCGCTTCTTACTTAATTAAGCCATCAATTTTCACACCCTTCTTAAAATTCTATTGATCTTAAGTGCAGAAATTTATAATATAATTAATGTATTGAATAAAACAATCTAATAAAACAGATTTTTTGGATAATAATTTAAAAAAAAAAACTCACGTTTGCACGTCCAGAAACACGCACTGGCAGAACGAAAGTAAGTTTTTTTTTTGGAACTAAAATTAACTACGATTATGTAACTAATATGAAACTACAAACAAGAGGAAGAGGAAGTAATTTATTAACGTCTAAAAAATCGTCTAGAGTTTTTAAATTCCATTTACTTGTATCCTTTCAATTTTTTTTTCTCCTTTAGATTACTCCAGAAAAGTAGGTCATACCATTCAAACAAGTGTTAAGTTATCGAAATTTTGATGTCAAATCTCACACCCCTTCCCTTCTACACCCGCTAAAATGTATTTTTAGATAGTTTTTTAGATAAATTTTTATATAATTTACCATTAAAATATTGTTAAACATAATTACTTGCTACTATCTTTCAACAGATCTCAGCATCCGTCTGCAGTTCTTAAAATAGAAGAGTAATGATCAAGAGTTTTGTAATTATTTTGAGAGCTTACTAATTATAATTAAATATAACCGAATTAAATTAATTGAGTTTTTGAAAGGTAGAACACAATTAAAAAAAAGGCGTGAAAGTTGTACAAAATGGGTAAATCCTTCTTGCATAATTGTTACCTCGTTTTTCTGGTGTTGCTTAACTTCACACCACCTTAATTTAAACACGACTGGAGATTCTAAAAACGGGTTTTTTAGATGAAATTATATGTTGAACTTCAAAAAAATTCACCCAGTGTTCAAGATTAGATGAATGAATATGTCTACGTATACGTCTGAACAGTTTTATAACGCTCCGTTTGTCCCACCACCTCAAAAATGACTGTAAATCCTAAAAAATTTGAGTGTTTTTAGATGAAATTACGTGTTAAAATCCCCCCAAAAATCACTTCAGATTAATAAATAACTTTTAAGTACACATCTACATTGTTTTATTATTCTCTATTGTTTGTACGACTGTACTTTATCCTTGAAGTAGCGAGTGTCGTAGTAGAGTAGCGAGAGTTCGTGTAATCCAGGAGCATCTATGAATTTATTTTATAAAATTAGCATTAAAAAAAATACATACATTTCTATGTTCCATGTTACGCTGATGGTGTCGAAGTAACCCCAACTGGCAGCATTCTGTACAGACATAACAGGTTTATTCAATCCGCAAAGCATGGTCACTACAAGATCTTGTATGGTACCCGCTCTATCATACTTCTCCAGGACATCGGGCCTGTTCTTCGATAGCCAAAATATCGTGGGGCAACCTTGACCCGTGCTGAGTCTCAAATGCGATTCTGGTGCAGGTAACGAAGCCAGGAAGGAACTGGTACATCTGGCATCCTGCCAAGTATACAAACAGCTGACTGCATCTACCTCGTACCTACCGAAATGATTTTGCTTCCATGCACCATCTTGTTTCCATAAAACGCAACCGTGCATTTGTCCCGAAATTCCTATCTTGGCCACACGTGATAGTGATTCCTTTGGCAATCTAGAAAGGCAGAATTGTAGGGCCGTACAGATTTTATGAACGTCCTGTTCGCTTCCTAAGTGTCCTAAATCGCTTGGCATCCTTGCTTTGGTTTCTCGTGACAGGGATTCGCATTTTTCTCCATTCTCTATGCTAATTAAGCACACTTTAACAGTTGTGGTTCCTATATCGATCCCTAAAGCCAAAGAACTCCTCGCCATGGTTGATGAGTGCCGGACACACGCCGCTACACCCCTATTTATAGAGGTGAGTAGTGCTGCCATCTAGTATCGATTTTTCCGCGAATTTAGTCGTTATGTCCGTCGAAAATTGTGTTTAATGCCTTATTTTTGGGAGTGGAATTTGGCTTGGTTGTGTTTAAAGTATGATTAATGCACGAGGAACTCGAATGAATATACACCTTTTATAAATACAATCACCTATTATAAAAATATCTGTTACTGGGGGTAGGTGTGTAACTTTTTAATCAATAATGGCGTTATGGGTTTTCCCCATAAAAGTTAAAATTAACATAAAATATTATATTGTCCGTCCGTAGCGCTCTGTTTTGTAGAAAATATTGTTAAAAAGTGTAATTTGTATTGTTACCTTTTTAAATATTAGCATAATTTGAAAAAATAAACAAAAATTCTCGTGTTATGACTCAGAATTCACGTCTGTCTGTCACGCTCTAGCTCTGTTCTTTACAGGAGAAGTTATTATTTCTGTTTCTATGTTAATTTATATGTACTGTACAGTAAAACATACTTGTATGATACCGAATATTTTTTCCGGTTATGCAGGTTTCTGTTCTAAACAGATTTTACTGTATATATTTTAATTATGAACATCATCTCATAGCTTATCATCATGTAGATCATGCAATAATTAATGATGATGTATTCGAAGCACGTAAACAAATACAGAAACATCACTATTGTTTACGATCTCTATAGAAACTGTTTAATTTATCCAAACTTTCAAGCTTCTGTAATTGTCTGTTCGTGCGAGTGCATAAAAATCTATATTCTTGCAATTTAAAATAATAAAATTCCGCCATCTTTGGTCGTAATTTAGAAGCGGAGGAGAAGGACAATGTTCTTAAATTCAGTTAAGTCATATCAATTATGTTAACGATACGTAACACATATAATAAAGGTTGCTTCCATTCATCAACGATTCTTTCTACAGTTTTGGAAGGAATCCAACCTGCATATGGATCAGATGATAAAATAAGATTCAACATGTCGTCACTTATAATAAAAATGCCAAATGGAGACGAAAAATAAATGGAGACTCATCCTCCAGATGATCAAGTACCTTGTAAGGTGGAGATTCATTTGCATAACACTTGTCAATTGCTAGCCAGATCAAATTTTCTTTACCATCTCCTAGTGGTCCTCTTTTATTAGTTACTTCATTAATTAAATACTAGAATGATTCGTCTTTAGGTATAAGAAAAAAAAAAGAGCATCCAGTGTATTAGAAGGAACAAAGGATAACAAAATTTACTGTGCAGAAAGAAAGACTAGTAATAATAGGATTATGATTTTTTTTTCCTCCTGCAGGTTTGGTTTTATTCGTACACAGTAACATGAGCGAGGAGAAATGCCATCCGAGAGATCTTTTATGGGGAAACTGGCCCTTATTTAGGTGTTAATAGGCATGTCAACTATCGTGTTTTATCTTTCTGTACAATAGGTAGGAGTAATACTTCTAACTTTTGTAGACTTCTTCCCTTGCATTAACAGGATAGAAGTCATTTCCATCTCGTCTCGGAAATGAATTCCTCCCGAAAGATACTGGGACGTTCGATAACATTCAACGTGTCTCTAAATGGCAGCCGGAAAAAATCCGGGACATCTGACAACTCTATATTTCATACACACAATAGTAATAATATAGCACAACATACAACACAATGCACAGCACACCAACAAATCACATAGCGCGCACAGTACTCAAAACACATTAGAGCACAGCACATATTTGCAGAATTCTCTAACACACTACCACCAATTTAATGCCATTTGATCTTGATTTGATCGTAATAATGCTATTACGATCATTCTAATTAATTGTGTATTATAGAAAAACAGTATATAAATAAACTTAAAATTGATTGCAGATTTAAACTTTGTTACTTAAATTTCAATAATTAATTTGCTTATTATTCTACTTAAAAAAAATCATCTTTCCTCCAAATTTTATTTACTTACATCCATAGGAGTAAGAGAATTTTTAAATAAATGCTTCAAGAGGGGTGAAAAATCGCCCCTTTTCTAATTGTAGTTTATGTAACAACTCCAGCGTTTAAATCTTCAATTAATTGTGCGAACAAGCACAGTGATATCGATTCTCTCTACCTTTGTTATTCTATCTGCTCCTGCCTTAAAGCATCTTTACTCGGCTTACAATTTTCTAACAAATACACTTTAATCTTTTGTGTGGTTCTGCCTACATACAAAGCTAAACTAATTTTTTCAACAGAATATAGCGGGATGATTTTAATTCCTTTATATTTTATATAAAATTAAATTCTTCTTAATTGTATTTCTGTTTTCGTAAATTTTTATTTATTTAAATCACGTTTGCCTGCATTTTTTTGGATATAAATGAGGTTGAATAGTCTAATGTGATCACAGAATACTGGGCTCTCTCAACCGGTGGATCGCGAACTAAACCTGATGATTCTCTAAGAAAGAATTAATTAGAAAATATAAGCTTTTTTTAAACAGAAAATGGAGGAATACTTTACGTTGCAATGAGACATTCGATGTTTGAAATATTTTCGTATTATTCAGTTTATATAATTAGAATAACCTAAAGAATTTTTAAAAATTTTAAACCTGAAATTTCTGAAGATCCCAATAGGACCTTCAGAAGTATCCATTTTTAAACGAACAATTTCTTTTAATTGCATCTTTCTTACGCATTTTATTCTTTAGGAATATTCAAATTCTTTGAATGGAAATCGAATTTCATTTTATCTGAAAACCTTTTTGACAACCTTTTTCTTCTTCAGAAAGTTCTTGACATTGAAGAACAACTTTTATACTTAAATTCAATAAAGTCTAAAGCTATCTTGTTAACTTCTCTATACTCTATAACACTTTACATTCTTCAACTTGAATAAAATAATGAGTTTAGCATTTAAAAAAAAAAAAAACACTAACTTAATTTAAAATAAAACACCCTTGGGTTTACATAAAGCAATAATGCGATACACCTTCCATTCTGCTTTACTATTGTAGCACGTAAAAAAAACTACTACGTTAACAATCTAATCATCTAAAAGAAATGTTAAATTAGTTTCTTAAGTGTTCTTTGAATGGAAATCTATACAAAGTAGCGACCCTAAAATTATTTAGAATTGATTTTCCATTCTTTTCTTTGATGTAAATCTTATTCTTTTATGGGTTTCACGTGTCAAACTGATGAATTCACAGTCCTAATGACGTTACAAATTGAATTTATCGCTTTGAAAATTGAAAAATTAAATAAAAAAACTATATTTTTTAATGATCGTTTTTAGTGATAAACACAAAGAAATCGAGCGTAATCGATAGATTTTTATGCAAATGAGCGATCCGATTGGACTCGTGGTGAAGACCATCGCGTTGCAGAATATTGATTTGAGAGTTACAAGAGCGAATTCGAAGCAGAGATTAGTACGAATCGATCAAGTTGGCTCCAACAAATTAAATCTTTCACGAATCTATCGATCATTTTTGCATATTTTTATATAGAATATCAATATAGAGCGTGCGTGCAATAAGCGTGACTTAACGGAAATCGATGTGGATTTACAAGTATGATCCAATAAATGGACTGTTCTGATTAATTCCTTAATTAAACATGAAATTGTATGAGAAATTTTTATAGTTTAATCGATTCTGAACATAATTGGGTTATTGAAAATGAGCTAAATCAAGCTGTACAGTAACGCAAGTGTAATTGAAAAGTCTAGCAAAGTAACGTTATGTGCTCTTCCAAACAGTAAAGTTGGGTCGAAATGCTAGTCCATGTTTAAATCTAGAGATTTATATATGTAATCATAATATCTGAAGTTCCGTACAAAATCTAATACTAAAATTAAAGTACCCATAATTAATGTAATAATTCATTCAATAAAGCAATATGTTTAACAGGAATCTATGTTACAGTATTAATAGTTTATTACTGTTGGCATGCATACAATGATTGCAAATTACTTCACAGATTTACACTGTAGTTGGATCACAGCATTGTTCTCAAGTTCCTGAATCAATTTCTCAGCAGCAGAAACTTCGGGAGCAACTTTCAATGAATTTGCATATCACCTCTTTCCTAGAATTTAGTTTAAAGCCCATCTCTCCAGCATCCTTGATCAGTTTATAGGTTAACACAACAATGTGAAGTTCATGATTCTCACTTATTTAAATGGCAAACTCAATTTTTAAGATTCTATTACTAGTTAAATCAAGATTATAATTGTTTCTAAACATATTGCTTGATCCTATGTTGCACAATTATATCTTTTTACCACCAGTGTTTAACAATTTTATCTATATGGCCATTAGTGGGCTTCTCAAATAAATTGAGTTCTAGTAAAATGAATAAATTGCCTTGAACTTGTTCTTCTGAGGTAGAAGAATGGCAGCATCTGCTTCATCTATAAATATTTATTATAATTTTTCAGATTATTTGATAATGCAGTAGTGAAATGATCCTCTCACCTACTTGCATATAATTCCAATACAGATTGGCTGCAAATTTTCTAGCACACTTAGTTCCAAAATTAAGTTACGTCACAGAACCCATAATCCTGGACCACTAATTACATCTCTTCTGTTTTAAAGAATTATGAACCGACAGGAACTTGAATTAAGCATGTATTAAATGTGGACTGGGGTTCATGCTGATAGTTCTGGTGTGTCTTTCCTACTCTGGTCCTAAGTATGGTATTCAGTACTATACTTTTTTGTAATACAGAGTTTATTGGAAATTAATGGATCACTTGACATTTTTTGAGTTAACCTCAGGTTTACATTGGTCATATCGCCTATTCCATGATGATAAACATATCACAAATTATTAGAGAATGCCTAAATTGTACTACAAGATATCCTACTGGCAATTTATGAAGGATTTTTCTAGCATGTTGAACTCAAAATATTAGCTCAGTGTATGATTTAACGCATAAAATTTCTGCATCTACTGACACTTTAAACTTGAGATTGTAAAACGTGTCAAATTATACAGTGCGCCAACTCATATTACTGCTAAATATGCAATAGTTTGATATAATGTATATGTTTACCAGAAAAATATCTTAGGCAGTTATGCAGAGGTATGCTGAACGATACCCTAATTAACATGCCATAAAAACTTACTTGTATGCAGCAAGTATTTTTCTTTTATAGATTGCAATGTTGATAGGTTATTGTGTTGCACAGCTCATTAAAACTAAGTCATTGCCCTGATACAAAAAACTTGGCTACCATTTAGACATAATGTGTCATCAGAAATGAGGCAATAATTTTTTTTAATAAAACAAAGCATTATCACCAATGTAAACAATAATATTCAATGCAGACTCAAAATTAAATAATTTAGATTTCCACGTCTAAGGTTACTTAAGTTGTGCACATACCGAGGAAACAAGGGGAAAAAATTCCATTTTTCATTACAGAATAATGATTTTTATGCCTGCATACATCACATACAGCATATTATAATATTGATTATAATGATATTTAATCACTTCTGATTGCTTTAACCGAAACAGTATGCAAATCCGTAGAGAATATAGTTTATAGTCCGCTTTGTATGCACACTATCAACACTAAACTGCACACTTCTTAGGTTTTATATGTATTATACAGGCATACCTTACAACGTCTCCCCAGTTATGTCTTCCTAGTAGGAGATCTCTTAATGTCAAGTTACATTTCGAATACTTTTAGAATCTCATGCAGAATTCTATAAGCATACCTGGTATCAACAAATATGATGTTTACGATATGGCATGCACACTGTACATATTACCATATAAAAATCAACTATTTGCTAACAAACATTGTTTGGTAATCAGGAAACAATGTATTAAATATTTTACAGTCTAACATGATAGTAAAAATGCTTAATTATAAATAAAAATCCATATTTTAGTTACATTACTTGAGGATAATTTTCAATTGACATAACCATTTCCCATTTAAAATAATGGAAAATATGCTTTAGTTAGTATCTTCTTGCAGGAAGTCCAATTTTCAGGAACATATATACATATTAGATATAGAACATATATAGATGTTAAGCAGCGAATTCTTATACTTTATAAAAATTAGTGTGTAATTATTAATGCATGCTTGAAAACGAGAAAGAGAAACTTCTCTAGATTAGATTTTATCAAAAAAAATCATCACTGTATCCAGATAAACTGTGCCATTATCTCAGATCATTGAAGTAAGTATATCTTACTCTGTGCTTGCATGTAGATATTAAACACCTATGAAGAAGCAACCGATTTGTGTGTGCTAAAATAATCTGTAAAATAAATACGTAAAAAATATTTCCATAATTTCATGGACGTTTTTATTGTTATAACTCAGGCACCTTTCATTCCCAACCGCTTACAAACCATGGACTATTGTTTACTAAACATCCAATTTTCTTGTTTACTCAGACTGGATGGCTAATTTACAAACAATAGGAGATAAATACAAATATTCATCTAGAAGGCAATTTAAAATTTTCTGCCCAGCTGCAATACACCTAAGAAATCTAATAATTGTAAATATGACTGCCCACATTTTTATCCAATTATATAATATGAAATATACATGAATGTATGTTATATGTATATATAATATACTTTTTTTAAGATCTCCTTAATTACCCCATCCAATTACAATGTTTCATTTAAGAGAAATAATACACATTTGAAAATGATACTACGGGGCAGAAGTCTGCCCGATTTCTCGACAGTAAATTTAGAAAATGGAAGCGAAAAATCGGTCAAAGAGAACGTTTGATCTACTCGTGCACGCACTATATTTTAGATTAAGGAATGACCTAATTATAATTTCTGAAATGCCGCCTAAGTCTCCCACAAACATCAAACGGCGATTCCCCTTAAAGTTAGCTATAGAGTTCTTGGCAAACTTAAAGAATTCACTTCCGAAAGTATCCTGAGCACAACAATAATATATTCTTANAAAAAAAAGAAACTGTTATAAGATTATTTTGTATGATTATCTATTTATGCCATCAAATAAATTATCAGAAGCTGTAAAATGTAATATAAGACAGCAGTGATGTGTACTAAAAGATATGCATAATAAAAAAAAATACTTTAGCAATATTTCATAATGAATGACCGGTTAAAATATTTTGCTTAAACTGACAACAGTGAAACACATGGAGAAAAGTCAATACTAACTTAGTATTAAAATAATAAAGACAGGATTTCAAATTTATAATATTTTTAACTATACAATTAATTATTATTCATAACTTAACATTTGAGAATTATACTATTTAGGAATGGCAGAAAACAATTGTCTTTGGGCAAGAAAAGTTCATCTACACAGAGCTACAATCGAAAGAGCAAAACAGATATATAACGGTATGGTAATTTTATTGAAATGTTTAATCTAAACGATTGTCGACCAATTTGTTTTCAAATTAAAATTAAATTTATACATTAAATTACTTCTGTTTTAGAAATGTACGGAAACGAGGACGGAACAATACCCGCCACGTTTCAGATTCTTTACATGATCGGTTGGAAACCACACGAATCACAGGTAAAATAAAGATAATATATATATATATATATATGTAGTCAATTTATAAATGTATCATTTTGTCACAATTCTAGGCTAAGCCGGCGAGAAGAGGTTCGGGAACGTTTTCTTTCAAGGATTTGCATAAATTGGAAACCGTTGTCAAAAAATCGGGCGATATTGACTTCCCTTCCAAAGAATCTTAACGTAGATAAAATTGTAAAAAATGTTTATGTAGGTAAGATTTTAAAACAGTTTATAATACATTGTTATATGGAAATCGCAGTGTTATAATTTTGAATACATTCTGTTGTCATATATAATCAGAAATGATTTTATTCATTCCCTATTCTTAATTCTGTAAATGGATAAAATCAATTGCAATGCATCAAAATTAATCTTCAGGAACTACAAACAGGTAGAAAAGCACAAGCGATTTTCACATTTGTATCATTATTATTATTACAGACATAATACAGCCAATTATTGTATTTAATCGGCAGCTGAATGAAGAAAAACAGAATAAAGGCTGTATGTTACATTTAGGTTCTTGTGCTAATTTTGTTATAACAGTGATGATTAATATTGGGGTAAAGTGGAGTGGTAATCTCGGGTGCAAACTGTCTCCTAAAGTATGCCAAATGTAAAGATGAATTTGCTGAGCAGTACATATTGTACATTAACCAGAGGAAATAGATTATTAGTCAGGCGGTCGCTTCTCTGAATATTTCCTTGTGAATTCTTCAGCGTTTTTCACAAATTTCTTTCTATCCTTCGAATATTCTTCAGCTAGGTCAGCCCGAAGGGGGTGTTCCGGTTCAGGATCGTTGATGAGGGCCACGAGTGCCTGAATGACTGTATTAAAAAAACAAAAGTTAAGAAAAAATACACAAGAAATGCAATCTGTATAATTATTATAACATAAAAAGTTAATAACTAATTTTACAATTGCTAATGCGGAATGACTAAAATTTGCATTGGTAACAAATATGCAGTCTAATTTATCAACAAGACACTTGTTTCTGTACAATAACTTGGTTGCTGAACGAGTTACTCAGCAACAGCTGGCAGCAGATTAGAGAGACAAAGATGGTCAACTCCTTATACTTCCTATGTTAAAAAAAGTCAATGGTCTAACCAAACAACAACAGGACTACTGATTCACAAGTTAGTTGTGATCACTTCATGTTATTAGATGTCATGATACAAATCATCAATGATGTTGCTATTTAAATTACATTTTAATGCATATGCAGGAGAGATACTACTGTACTTCTGTTTTTGGTACATGCAGCAATTGAATTTAAATCAAATTAATTAATAAAAACTACATTAATTAACATTCATGTAATATAAATGGCATCCAAAATTTCATATTTAAAGATGCTTAAGATGAGTTAAATAAAAATTTATTAATATAATATTACATTGCATTTGTAGGCATTTTTTTTTTTACACGAAATACAGTTAAAAAGATAAAAAAAAAAAAAGCTTTATTTTGTGGACCAGGAATGGATTAATCCATTTTATGTTGTTTATGAGTAAATTTGTTTCGCTTTTAGAAAAATTGGTTTTCAAACAACTTTTAGGAAGGAATTATGTTCAAGAACCGAGGCTTGACTGTATTAATTTGCTTGCAACATACTTGAAGTAGAAGGCATTTTTTTATTTCAATTACATACTGGCTGAATTATTACTAATTAATAAGAAATCTTCAAGTTATACATTTTTACGATAATTAAATTGTTTTAATATGTCCTGTTGTTGTGCCAGATCACATTTTTTGAAAGAACTTTGTTCCTGAAAGAGCCACAATTTAGAAGTTTGACTGTATGAAGTTCTAAGATATAATTCTATAAATTTATATGTTATATTCACAGTTATCATTAATCATCATTTAGAGGATTTATTTTAAAAAAAATCCTTTCTTTTGAAAATTTGGGTGTGTTATTTTCTTATTATGATAAAAAATATTTAGATAAACAACTGTTTTAATGTTTCATTACAAGACAAATATTCATTATAACTAAATTTTATAGTTAATAAATTCAACCAAAAGTATGAGTAGATAAGAACCAAACTATACATTGAAACTTGCAGATTTTACCATGAGAATAGTTTATAATACATTGTCTACATTATAAATATCTAACTCATTATCAGATATTTTCCAGATATCTGAAAAAAATTTGTTTTAAATAAATATGAAAATAGAGAACAAGTTGTATTCTGGCTCCTAGACAAGTCTCTAATTCATGTTTATTACTACTTTTAATTAGAAATTACAACAAGAAAATCAGGAAAAATTCCAGAAGTTATGCAGAATCATAAATAATAATGGGTTAGAAATCTGTATTATCTATGGCAATACAGATTTCTATACCCACTTTTTTTTTTTAATCATCATCCATCATTACCCTCCAACTTACATGAGATGTGAAAATGAAGTCAATATCAGAAATTTAATTATAAAATTAGCATCATTTTCATAATAAATTATGAAATTTTCAACTCTCAAGCTTTGGATACAATAAAAAGAATTATTATTCACAACCATTTTTAAAAGCTTGTTATTTATGTTAAATGAACATATACAGAAATAAATTCATTTAATGTAAATAACATGTTTCTAAAAACAATTCTTCACAGAAACTAGAATCACTGATGTCAGATAAAGTTATCCTTTTCAACCAATAACATGTTATTCAAATGTAAAGACTTGGATAGTAATTGTACAACATTATCAATGAAATCCAGAAATGTGTTGTAATAAAAAGTGAATATTCACAAAGTATAAAATCTTACTTACAAAGGTGCTCTACATCATAACACAGGACTGGATCACATCAAGAGAGATTTAATACAAATGTCAAGAAGACAAAAATTATCTTAACTAATTTTTTTAAATGATCAATTCACACACTCCATTTTATTTATGCAAATGAAACTATTCCAGTCAATAGAAAGTGTGTCAAATTTTTAGAAAATTTATATTCAATCTATCTCATCAATCAATCAATCTAATATTACTTTTACTTATTAATCAAGGCATCCAAGACATGTATGAAAGCAACAAAATCTAACTAGTAAGAAGAATGTTCAAAAAAGGCTAAGACAAAAACTTATCAGATAGCATTAAAGCAGTACACGTGTGGCAGATCTGGCAGTCATGTTTACAATGCCAAAGTTGACAGTGTGCAACTAATAAATGCAGTTTTCATTTTATATATTATTTACATATTTTATTTACTGTTTTCGTGCTTTAAGGTATGGTAAATCTCATAAGTTTCATAGATGATTTGACTTTGGTATGATGTGGTTAGTCCTGATTAATAAATAAATTAATATCATTTTTGTTTTTTTTCTTATTTTTGTGATTACTGTAAATGATTTACAGTGATTTAATCTACAATGATTTACAATTTGAAAATTTCAAAACAACTTTTAAACAATTTTTAAAAACATTTTTTAAATTTTCAATTGATTTGATTTCAATTTTAATTAATTAATTTTGATTTTATTTTCTGTTTCTGTGTAAAGTGACTACCTAATATACTTTAATTTGCTGATATGTCCAGGGTTTTAACATTTTTTAAGGTGAAAAGATGATAAAAATACATTGGGAACCTGTCTTAGACTGTAAATAAATTATATTACTTTAATTTTGTGGCTAATTCATTCAGCTCAATTTTTATTACTTGTAGCTAAAGTATTATACTGATCATCATATCAATATTTAAACAGCCAAAATCATAACTTCTAGATTCTTTGGCTACAAATAAGCTAATATTTACTATGTAATTTAGTCAAAAGGTAAGCAAGTTAAGCTATCATTGTGTGCTACTATTTATAATTAGATTTTAAATATTTAATTAAAAATTTTTCAAAAGCAAAGACAACCCAGAGTGGGATTTCAACTTACAAAGAAACAAAGATTTTCCTTTAAAAGTTGAAGCTGCTATTTTTGCACAACAATAATATTTCCCTCAAAAAGTTCCTAATGATGTCTTTATCTGCTGTTGTAAAGAACGTCAACAAAAGAGAACATTTTGAGTCAAAAGACAAAATGAACTTGTGATGCCAAAATAAGCAAATTTTTATAAACATTTCTGAATTGGAAAAAGTGTATTGAAACCTGGTGAGATTTTGAAAAATATTAAATGAATTTCTTTATATACTAACAAGTTTTGATTTTTTGACCCAGTCTTTAAAGTTTCTGAATACAACTTATATATATAAAAGCAAAAGTTTGCTTTAATGGAATTTAAGAACAAAACAGAATATAAAAGCACAAATTTCAGCAATTTTTTGGTGTTAAGTTGATCATTATAAGGCTTAAAGCATTATCCATAAGCTTTTAGAACTTCTGCTTTTAAACTTCACTAGAGCAAATATTCTCTCTAGTTTCTTAAATTTGTGAAGTGTTATGTAGCACTCTGGTTTATACGATATCATAAAATATATGATATACATTTCATCACAATGCATGTTAAAAGTTTCCTTGATGTTTGTGTAATTATTAATTTTAAAAATCAATTGTTACCTTGATCGGTTCTAGTAGCAGGTTTCCAATTTTCAGCACTAATTATGGGTAGACAAACCTGCCCCTTCTCATCGATATTTGGATGGTAAATTTTGGTCCGAAATGTTATCTTTGGTGGTTTAAATGGATATTCAGCAGGGAAATTTATTTCTATCCTGAATGCACCTCTGTTATATGGAGGATTATCCTAATTAAAGGGGAAAAAAAAGAGTAATCTTTAATAATAAGTTGAATAAATAAATAAATATAAATATACATAGTGAATGGCTTACATAAAAGACTATACAATAAAAAGTTTTATTTCCTGAGGTGTGAGAAAGGACATAACACGACTTTTTATTGTATAGTCTTTAATATCATTATATATATTTTTTGTGAATTTACAATCATTATCCTGACAATTTCATCAAATAATAAGCCATTGTTTGATTATTAATGTTTGAAACAATTTTATTTACACTTAAAACATTAATGAAAAAATATAATTATTTATAGAAATAAATGAGCACTTGGCTGAGAAATTCAATTATTAATTTTTACATGAAACTTTACATTTAGAAATATTAACAGTTCAAGGAAAATGAACTGTTATTAAAATAAAGATGCAAATTCTTCAATTCCTTCTTGTTGAATCCACATCGTAAAGTTGCTTATCAATGATGACATCAAGTCATTGAATAGGAAAGGAGATTTAAAAAAGGCTGATAAAGCCAAACTGTACATAATTAAACAAAATAACTTGAATATTCAAGCTATATAGATATTAGAAAGTCAGGAGAGAAATACCAAACAAGAAATTTGGCTACTGTTTTAATGATATTTAGAAGAACAATTATAGAAAGAAATCTCAGCATATGTAACAGTATAAAGGTTTACATTAAAATTTGGTTGCTTTAACTGTTATTCACATGCATTATTATTAGCTATGTTGATCTTCTTTACACATTAATGAAGTAGAATTTAAATTTATGCACATTGAACAAGTACACTACTAATTGTATCATCAAAGCATTCTAACTTTTGAATTTTCTTCATTTAATTGTCGTCGTCATAAATAAATAAAACTGTTTAGAACAATCTGGTACTCTGATTCAAATCAATGGTATAATCTTTACATAAGTCAGTGTTGTTAACTTAATGTAAACATAGTAAAATGAATATATATCTAAATATAAATGATAAACATGTAAGAAATTTGGTAACTAGAGTGACCAATGAGAAGAAAAAGTCATATCCAGATAATCCCACAAAATGTTAATGTTTACTGTCCTAAAATATTTTATTTACTGTATATATTAAGATCAATAATTATATTAAAATGTAAAATAAAAACCCACAATATTTTTTTTTAATTTTGAAGTTTGGAAAACTCAAACTGTGAAACAACAAAAATCTCTTTACAAACAGTATGTTCTAGGAATACACTAAACAGTGACAATATCAAATTTCCTTTCTGCATAACCAAGTAATCTAAAAAGGAAGAATTACGTAATTTAACTTCCGATAGATTATTTTTCATTTTTTAAATCTCATAAAGTTTTGTATAACTGTTTTTTGAAGTAGACAAAAGGTGATAATTACTTTTATAACTATTGAATTAAACAATTTGAATTTTGTATTCCAAATGTCATGCTTGAAAACATAAGGCTGAGCACAAACTAGTCAATATCACAGCAAACTACTCATTTGATGCATCATCAAACTAAATTTGTGCAAATGCTGCTGTTTTGATCAGTCCATAACTTACCCTTCAACAACACTTCAATCCAACATGTTGAAATTTTCTGTGGCAGTCATGAGGCATTTATACACAGTGAAATATTTATGGTCACTGTTTTAGCTACAACTTCTCTAAGCTGAGATTTTGAGTTGAAAAGTTTTTGACTGATCATCCATCATACATACAAAATTGTAATATTTATTTCATTAAATTATTGAAACTATAAAACATATATAATCGCTAAAGATATTTTATAACCACTTATTTTTTTTCCAATTGAAAAATAAAACAACACTAGAAGCAGCAGTACAAAACTATAAGCAACATCCTAAGAACTGATTTTAATTTCTTAAACTTGTGTTCATAGAGGTATAAAGGAAATGTTCATTTGTTCTTTAGAACTACATCTCTAATGATATCATTAGTTGCAACATTGTAAGATCACTGAAGAAAAATAGTCAAGTGACTATAGAAATCTTATCTGATGTCATTTTAAAATTATGAAATTTACAAGTTTGTGCTTAGCCTAATAGTGAGCCATCATATTTGGGACTTCTTATATGTTGATAGAGGTTGGACCACTTGATTTTTGAGGTCTCAAGTATACTCAAATTATATTTGAGTTTGTGGATTTATATTGTTTGATCAAATATTACAACACTAATAGAAATTTCAGTTTAAACTTCCATCCTACAATGTTTAGTTTTTATGAATCACTTAACAATGTGATATCTTTCTGGATAATGTAATCGAAAGCTTTAAAAGTAACTTGCAGAGAAAGACCCAAATTTTAACATATTTAATAAGAAAAATATTGAAAATGAATATACAATTATTTTTATTGAACTTTTTCATTGTTTTTTACAATAATATTTGTCCAAAATAGCAGTTAATCCTAGAACACTATTAAATATACATAAATATAGGGTTCCTACTCATTTTGTTTTAAATTCCATGATTCCCTGACCATCTTTGTTCAAATTCCCTTACCCTCACATCTCTTACAGCAGTGGTTGGAGACAGGTTGATTGTAGGAGGCAAGGCAGTCAATCACAAGCAGACAAAAAAAAAGAAAAAAAATAATAAAACAAGAATTTTACATTGTGTTAGACTTGGAGAAACTGAGTTGTGGAAATGCAATCTCAAAGATACACAATCCAAGCACTTTTTATGTTTAAAGAATGAAATAGAAAAAAATGTCCAGTCATACTCTGAGATGGAGAAACATTTCAGAATAATTGTAGACTAACAGCAGGACTTCAGTAGGAGATTCTTGAAATTTAAAAAACATTGAACAAATCTGTCAGTTTGTGTCATTTCCGTTTTCAAGTTTAGATGTAACTGTAGCATCATCAGTGGCAATGGAAAAGAAATTTAAGAGGACACTGCAGTAGAGCTTTAAATAATAAATTTTAACAATGATTTGAGTATCAAAAGTCTTGCAGATGGGCAAGAAGTTTGGCCATTGATTGCTAGAGAAAAATACTCTTCTTTAGTCAGAGTAGCACAAAAATCAAATCACTGTTTTCCTCCACATATCTTTGTGAATCCTTACTTTCAAATATGAATTTCATAAAGAACAAATATAGAAAAAGACTTGACAGATGAACATCTCAATAGATGTTAAATAATATGAAAATTTTCTTGCCAAATCTGAAATTTTTCTTATAATTAATTACTAAATAATTTGTCATTAAAAGGAAGCATTAGGTGCAATCTCTTATTTTAGTAATTAATTATATGTATGATTTAATTTAAATTTTCCAAACTAAATAATAATAATTATTAATTGGTTCATAAATTATGGTTTTATTTTGTGTGCAATGATTTTTGGGGAAATTTTGTGTATGTTCGATAGAAATTTTGGGCTCTGAAAATATTATGCACACCTTTTTGTAAGTTGCATTGCCCCAATTACTTCTTTCTGCCTACACACAGCTACACTTGATCAACCATACTGTCAGCAAAAAAATTAACAAGGCAGCTAGAGAGAAATTCTGACTTTCCATGACTTTCTGAACACTGATGAAAATCCCTGACTTTCCAGATGGGTAGGAACCCTATGAATACCTTAATAAAGTATAAAATGCTTTGATGATATTTAGCAATTAAAACCATTCCCATAAAAGCTGTAGACTTATAAATTAAGGACTAAATGTTATTTCTTTATGAACAATATGAATCAATCACTATTATGATGTCCAATCTTTTACAAGCAATTAAGAGTAATGTTCTATAAAAATTAAAATAATAGATATTTAGTCTGAAATGTTATAATCATTAAATTGGCTACATACATACATTTGTTGAAATACTACACACAGCTTTAATTTTGAAATCCATTAATTAATCAAAGTGAGATGTGAATTTATTTGAATGATTAATTCTGATGATAAAGTTTAGAATTTCATATTACTCAAAATATCATCAACATATTTATAAAATTTATTTCAATTAATAATGCATGATTTTTATTTACAGATGTAACCTATGTATTAATTCTAAGATTTTCAGATTGAAATCTCCATAAATTGTATATTAGTTATTTACACATGATTATGTTTCTCTTGATCTGTATGTGTACAATATATTCACATTAATGACTTTATTACAGCTTAATATTAAACATAAAAATGGCTCATATTTTGATTTTAAGTGTTCAAAATGTTAATGAAAAGCAAACTCTTCCTGGAACATATGTCTCCTTCTGAAGGAAAGATTTGCCAGGAGTGTGATTTTTAATGTTATAGAACTTATGCCAAATTAAAAACATTATTTGAAATTTTGTATGCTTTATTTTACAGTAGACCCCCTATAACATGGGCTCATATAATATGGATTTGTATAACATGGCAAAAAAATTGTGATCATATTCGTATAAACATGCTAAAAGAGACTTGTATAATACAGAAAACATCATTGTCGACTCTTGTCACAATAGGATTGGTCGAATCTAGACCAATAGCAGATATCGCACAAACCGTTGTGCAATATCTGCTATTGGTCTAGATTCTGCAAACTGCATATCTGCAAACTGTTAAGTAATAAATGGTTTTTAGTAGGTCCGAGCAGCGGACCTACTAAAAACCATTTATTACTTAACAGCCATAAAAATTATATTTATATTAATGATGTCTCCAAATTCAGCGAATTTTTTGCAGAAAAATAACTTATCAGGAAATATGCACCCCCGTTCGATGCGCAGCTCCACGACGAAAATAAGCTTAAATTAAGCAATAGCGTCATCTAACAGTGCACACTTGGTAAGTAATCCTACAATTTTTTGTTTATAGCATAGTTTATATGGATTATTCCCAAAAAATTATACATGTTTTGGAAATGTTTAGTCAAATTAGTCTAGAATCGATTAATTTTATGGAAGAAAACCTTTCAAACAGCCGTAGTCCCTAAACTGTACACATGCCGGACTATGGCTAATGTATTAAATGACTCGTAAAACACGGAATTCATATAAAACAGAACGCATCTACCATGTTATAGGGGTCTACTGTAATTAGTTTGTTAAATTATTCATCAAACTAAAATTATTAAAAATTACACATGTAGATCATCATCATTCTCCTGAGTTTATTGTCATCTTTCTACAATTATCATCATTGCACATTTCTATATCTGTTATTATTATGTAATAGTCAAAAAATATTGTCAGTCACTGTTGTATTTTGTATTATGATTTTTACATTAATTTATAAGTTTTCATTGTTATATTATTCATAACTGGCAAATTATCAAATCTAAATTGTAAATAGAGAAGTATAATTAAATGTTTCTTAATTCTCTAAACTGTCATATGTTCTGTAAACTGTAAAAAAGAAAGTTCAATCTGTACAAAAACAGTTTATACCATAATGTTCTATTAGGCTATTATGTTTAATTTTGTGGACATCTCATGACATTCATATCTAAGTTTGAGATCTGTTTTACTGTAGTACAAATGCAACATTAATGGAAAGCAATTGTTTTTAAATAATTATTGTAATTAAAATAGAAACTTCTGAGATTGTGTAGAATGTAAAGGCAAAAATTGAAAAAAATTTGACTACTTACTGGTACAATCAAACCTTGCCAGGTTAAAATATTGGTCTCATCAACTTGGATATCTCTAAAAGATCTTATTCCTGATTTTTGTATGTCCTGAAGCTCCTGAAATACATGAAACACAATAATTTAAATAAAATAATTTCATTCACCACAAATACTAATTAGAAAAACAAGTATGTGTCACATATATTTGATTGCTTTAACATAATGTTCCTAACCTCTGAGAGTTAAAGCTATTTTGTTAATTTAAATAACCCAATTGAATACACATTATGCAACAACTTTTCTTACATTTATATTGCTTGACTAACATTTGCTAGGTGCATTATAAAAGTTTCAATGCTTTTATTTAGTTGTCATGGTATATAATAAAATCATCTATTGATTAGTAATAGTAAATGTAATCCAGTGTAGATTAACATTTCTTCAAATATAACACATGTTTTTGCATATATTTAAATAGTATTTTAGAAATTTCCAAAAATCTTATATATACACTGATAACAGAACATTTGAATGTAGAAATAGGATCCTGGTAACTATGCTGCAGATAAATTTTTCTAATAAACTTGGGACTTTTAGAGCTTTCTTGGTCTTTTTAATCATATCTATTGGAAATTTAGTTAGCCCACAACCAAATCAGATGAATAAGATACATCTAGAACAGTTGCCTGCAAAATTTCTTAGAGGTTCTCTAACCTGAACTTCAACCTAGTGCTCTGAAAGAACAAGCCTTTATTGCCTCAATCATCAGGCCATTTAGATTTAGAAAATAAGACTATATTAAATTAATTCATGAGATTGGAAAGGATAAGCAGCACGGATGGGATAACAATAGTAGTGTTGTGAATAATAAACTAAATTCTTAAGATATAATGAAGATGAAAATTTTCACCAGGCACACAGATAATAAAATAAGTACTATAGTGAAAGTAGAAGGGAGAGAAGTGACCAAATAAGGAGGAGGAGTAGAACTGAGAACACAAGATATTGGATAGAAGTGAAAATGATGCTATATTAGACAGAAATTGATGGAGAGAAGCTGCTTAACAGTGAGAGAAGACATTGAAGACGTGAAGTTATAATTCTTACAGAAAGTAAACCATGAAATAACACTTGTAAACATTAATATAGATTAATTAAAGAAATTTACAATAAATCAATTTTAACTAATTAATAATGTTCTTTGATAACAATTGACAAAGGATATAAATTTACACATAACTGATAATTAAAGATCATGTAGTAATTTGTATTGGAAAAAAACGTGCTAATTTAGAAATTTCTTAAATCATCATCAGTTATTTGATATCTTTCAATCAAATATACCTCAATTCTTAATCAAGATTGACATTCTTGCATATACTGTGCTCCAACAGTTGCATGCATCATATCAGTTGTACAGTGCTTAATTAATAAAGTACACCTACAAATCAAGAGAGATTCATTCAACTGTGATGTCATGTAATGTAATCCCACTGACTGACAAAAATTTTTAATTCATTTTGTGAGATTACATAAGCTTACGTTTTTTCAATAGCTCTCTTCACTTTATTACGTTTTACATCCAATGTAAATCACACTTAATACATAGTACTAAATATGGAGAAATATTAAAGATATTTTGAGGGTGGAAACCTGCAGTCTATGAGAAGTTTCAAAGAGTTTAACATGCAGACGTTCCACCAATTGCACACACTAATATGGATGCAACTTGTTAACTCTTTAGCAACTTCTGACAAGTCCCACCATCAAAATAGCTCTAATTTATTACTCCTAACTTTGTTTATTCTTTTACAGGTAAAGCATGGTACTAAAATCAACACAACTCCTATGGTTTCAGACTTATGAGGACACTGAATTATATGATGTACATGTTTCTGTATTAACAGTAATTATTGTATATTTGTTCAGGAGGCACATTATAATTTATTCACTACAAAGTCTGATTAAAAACCACCAGTTTAGCATATAAGTCTGGGAGTTTCATGCTTAAAATTAAATATTCAGAGGACCAATTTTTGGAAACACTTGAAAAGTGGGTCCTATTATTTGAACAAGGCTACGCATTTGTGTTTTAAGGCTATGTGCTCACCAAGTTTCCTTCCAATTGGAGAAATGAACATCTGGCCCCTCCCCCTTGTACAGTTTAACATGTTATTTTTATCCAGACACCAAACTGATAAGGCTACCAACACTTGCATTAACAAGTAAAACTGGATGATAAATAATTTGAAGTGGCAAAAATAATTAAAAATTGGTGAAATGGAGGCGATATTTTTAATTTTTCCAGAGCAACTCATTATTATTATTGATGGTGTTCTTATACACTCACTCTGAAATACCTGAAGTTTGCATCAACTGTGAGCAACTTATTATTCCAAACATTTCTAGCAAGTTTGGCTTCTTGCCATTAAATATTGTAACTTTACTAAAGTCCGTTAATTTTCTGGAAGTGAATTTTTATACACGAAACATTATTTTTGGAGTTCTGAAAATGAACACACACATTTTGATGTAACTGCTAGCTAATACCAAACTGCAATTCTGATTGTTTCGAGAATTTTCTGTAAACTTGTGCCAAATTCTGTGTGTCTAGCTTCTTACTTAGGTCTTGCACAAGATCTATAAATCAGAGTGACCAAATTTCTGAAAGTCAAAATTGCCAAAATTGTACCGATGAGCTATCTGATAATAAAGAAGCAATACAAAGTTTCAACTGAATTACAAAATGGCTCATACATAAAATCCAATTTTTCCTGTAATAGATGTCAAATGCTAAATTTAATAAAATTATTTGAATTTTTTCCTAATGGAATAACACTTGAAAAATTAAAGTGTGCTAAATAAGGTTAAGAGTAAGAAAATTAAAAAATAAGTTTAAGTCTACAGCTAATATATAAAAAGCTTCTAAGTTCTGGAAAAGAAATAAAACTAAGATTATGAATCTTTGTTCAGTTCAATCATTGTATTATATGCAATTATATGAAATAAATTATTTATTTAGGACTAGCGAGACATTTATTAAAAATGGAGTGTAAAGAAAAAATGGAGTGTAAAGAAATAATTGTGGAAAAAAACAGTTTAGAAAAAAAGACAATTCTAATAATCTAATTCAATTCAAGCATATTGGGTCAAAGTAAGCATAACACANTCATCTTCCTTTCTATTTTATTAATAAGTTAATATACGTATGACGTAATATATGTTAGAAAGATTTAATCTCAACCTCTGCAATACTAGGGCAGTAAAGGCTGATTACTAAGACAACTGCCATAAATGACAAAGTATGTATAAAATTTGTTAAACTGGTTGCTTCCAAGAATCAGCTGTAGTTTTATGTTGTGTTTTAAAAACAGTGTTTAAAATGGCAAAACAGCAGAAAAACCATTTCCTTCAAAGCAGTTTTATTAGTCAAGGCATCTACATTCTTAACAAGATAATCAATATGCAGTTCTCACTCTCATTAAAAATTAAACAAATTATTAGTTTGATATAATACTTACTTATACTTGAATACTTATACTTATATACATAATACTTAATTACATAATACTTATACTTGAATTTTACACTCATAATTACTAAAAATGTCATATAAATATGAAATTTATTTATTATAAATGATAAATTTCAAATTGGATTTGAACAAATAATGAAGAATGAAACAAAAATTGAGAAACTTTCTTATTTTTGCTATCTAAACAAATATTCATCACTATTTCCTAAAAAATATTTATGCAAAATCACTAACAGTAATTATTATTTATAAATTATATAAAATTTAAACTATGATTAAAAAAGTCAATATACTAACAGATTAACAATTAAAACATTTTATTTTGAGGTTTGTTTCGACTAAAAATATTCACTTAATTTCATATTAATGGTTGCAAAATGCAAATCTATATATTAATTAAATGATGCTGTTAAAGGTTTTCAGTTTGTCCAACTTAGTTTGACTAAATTGCTAGGGCTAAAAAATATAAATTCATATATCAACTTAAAGCTCTTATTCTGTAAATGATGCTGCTGAAGACAGATTTGAACAAGGATGTAATGGTTCAGGCATGGTGAAATGCCAAAAGGTACAATGTTAAATCTATGGGAGAAACATGTCAGGCACTCACACGCCATGTAGTGATTTTGTTTTTTTTAACCATTCCTGCTTTCTTTTGCTAATTTTTGACCTTCTGCATTACTTTTTAACATTAATTTTACTTTATTTGAATTTATTAAGAATCACTTTTATTTTTTCATACATTTAACTTTAAATTTTTATAACAGTGTTGTTATCGTTATACATTGTTATCTTTATAAACAAGTTAATGGAAATGAACTTGCAATTTAGAAATGCAAAGATGACAACTAGCTGTGTGCCTGGCATTGCTTGGGCTTTGGAGGGGATGAGGGATTAGTAAGTTTCAGTCGAGACACTGATAAAAACAGTCTTAGTAACTAAAATATACCTTTATTACACTGAATATTTACAATAATGAATGTACAAAACAAAAAAATTGCTTGGGCTGAAGTTAACATAAGTGTGTGTTTTGTGGATGCTTGAGGGTGAGACCCATGATATTTCTTCTAGGGCATCAAAGAATATTCATGCCAAATTTGGGCAAATATATTGGATGGTATAGAAATCTCTACCTAAGAAACACAGGAGTGGTTAATTATACTTCTACTACATAAGTTAACATTAAAGTTCAGAGCTGTAGTCATGCAAATCAGGGGACCTATTCTGAGTAGTATCGTTAAGCTAACGAATAAGATAAAAACCAATTTCTATTGGAACCACGTGATTCACATTTAATCAACTGTGAAAATGCTATTCCAAGCCATATGTTTCGTTTTCAGTTCCAATAGCCATGTGCGATAACTAAGCTTTTGTTATTGATCACTCTCGAGCTGCCATTAGGAATGTAACAAAAGTGAAAACAACATGGCGTCTTTTGGTGTAAGAATGATTTTTCTTCACGAGCAATTGGAGAGAGAGTTAATAAACTACGTTGTTGTATTGCTTAAAAATAATTACCTTAAGTATTTATGAATATTGTATGAATAATGTAATTGCTTTCTTGTTAAAATTTAAAGTAACT